TTTGGAATACGAGCTAGCTTCTTATCACTTATGAGATTGACAATCGGCTGCCAATCGATGGAGTATAAAATGTTGAGAAGTTTTCTTGTTAGCTTGGACCAAATTTCCGAGGAAAATCTACACGGAAAATACAAATGAGCTCTCTTAAAACTCACCTTCAACGTACAATTTTTTTTATTTTATTTTAAAAAGACAAGTAACGAAAGCTCAAAATTAACCCTTTTGAATAGGGTTGGGTGTTCAGCTATCAGTTCGATTCGGATGACTTATATTGGATTCTGGGTATCGAGTAATTTTAAATTTCGGTTTGTGTTTGGTTCGACACCATCTCAATTCAGATATTTGCTTGAATAATATCCGAAAATAGCAATTGATACAAAAAATTTCAATCTCTATATATAAAACAAAAAGATTTTTCTAAATTTAGAATTTCTTGAAAAATGTATTTCCAAGTATACCATTTTTTTATCTTTTTTTTTTATAAAACTTATCACAACTAACACTTTAAAATAATGCTAATTTAAGCTTTTTGTGGCCTTAAATGCAATAAATTGTGGTAAATTAGCCGGCCGATGTAATTTGTAGATGAGAATAACTGATAAATGATAGATGAGACAAAATTGATGAAGCATTATAAGTTTAAAAATTTGGCGAACAAAAATATCATAACACTTGTAAAACTTGTAACACTTTCAAAGTCTCTATTTATCTATATTTATTATTTATCGTCCACGTAACCGAAACTAATTAATATTTACGTCCAGTTTAGGAATAGAAGAAAATGTCCATATCTAAATGTATATGTAGATAGAGGTCACAACCAAGTAGAAAACTTGTGATCTTAGTGTTACGCGTGAACAATAGTAGTCCAATAAATTTGTGAGAGAGAGAGGATGGGAAAAATGGCTTTTTAATTGGCTTGTGGTAGATCTCAAAAGTTTTAAAACAAATGATGGACTCTAAAAATTTTTGTAATTTTTTCTAAAATAAAATAAAAAGTGTATATTTTTAGAAATCATC